ATGTAAATTTGATATCAATTGTCTTAATTGCGTCTTATTTAAATTGCATATTATTATGTGATATATGTATTTTGAAAATCATTATTTAGTTCGGTGCATTTGTATTAGAAGTTGTATAGAAAAAAGAATATAAGACATTACTTATATAAATGATGAGTTTACAAACACTCTAGTACTCTCAAATGTTAATTGCACTCAAATACATAGAAAAATATTTAATTACACGAAATCATATATTTTATCCATCTAATTAAATCTATAAATATTTGATTTTATTTTGAATGATTTGGCTAATAATTTTAAAATTTTGTGATGTTTGGCTAATAAATTGTAATTACCCTTTTATTAATTATTGAGATATTTGGTTATTTTGGATATTCTTATTGGTTTATATCTAGAAGTAGAATTATCAATATTTTAACTATCAATATATGTGCCTAGTGTATACATAAATGAAAATATTGAACATTGATATAATTGAACTAGTCATCATACTCATAATACATTAATCATACACTACAAATACGACCTAGAATATATTGATCGGATTAACTAATAGATCTACGTGGAGGCATCCTAATATTTTGAGGCCCTGTGCTAGAGGGCCTCCCGATACACCCTCTTGGCCGCCCTTACAAGTCAACTAACTCATTTCCACAGATTCGTACAAAAACGTTGATTGAAAAACTCAAACCACAAACTAGTTACCAACATAAAAAGGAGATGTAAAGATATGTAACTAAGTAAACTAGCTGAGATCAAACTAAAATCGTTTATTAACGAGCTGAGCCCAAACTAGGTAAAAATTTGGCCCCACTTGTCTCATTTGCAATCTTATTTATAATTTAAACATTAAAGGTTTCTAGCAAAGTAGTGCACAACAAGAGTGGAGCTCAGTCGATCAAAACTGGCAGAATGATTTGGATGGTTTGTTCAGTTATTCACTTGAATATATTTTTGACCAGTAAGATCACAGCATGAGGTCATAAATGACATATGGACTGCACTAGAGGATAATTGCTTGTAATAACACTATTAATATTGCTAAAGTTTAGCAACACGTAAGGGCACAATCTATCCTAAAGTCATGAATGAAAACATTTAAAGTTTATAAACATAATTATTAGTTCAATGAGAGTAGGAATCACCAAAATAATTCCCGTTAAATGATCATAAAAGACATGGGCACTTACTTTGATTGGATCCATGTCGTGAAACCAGTTAAATCTTTTTACTGGATACAAATGCTGATACAAGCGCGGAACCTGTACCCGTAGTTATCAAAGTACGCAGCTCCAAGAACGAACAATAAAAAGACTGCTTAGGGGTTTTTGTTTGTTTGGGATAGGATGGAATTGACAGTGCAATCTCAATACAAACAGGGAGAAGGCTCAATCAGTATAAAACGATAGAATCTCGACCGCAATCAAGGGGAACACTTGATTGATACAGAGAAAAGTTCAAGGCTCAAGCTCAAAACCAAGGTAAAATCAATATTCTGCTAAAAACTAACCCTTAAACCCGAGGCACAACCTTTATATATGTCTACGCAATTGAAAAAAAAAACAACTTAAAACACAAAATCCCGTCAGTCAGACCCAAAACCCGGGCAGAATACCCGGTCGGGTATTTTGGGTTACAGACCGGGTTTTTTCCCTGCCTGCTTTCCCCCGCCTTCCCCTTCATTTCCCCGGTCGGGGAAATTCCTCCCACAAAACCCGCTCCCCGCCTTGTCTCCAATTTGGGCCTCGGTTCCAGGAATTGACCCGCATCAGTCCCTCCCCGTTGGAAAAGCTTTGCCCTCAAAACTTGTGTTTTCTTGCAATAGACAACATTAACAACACTTCCACATGGAATTCTCCTCAATGAAGTCAACATGTTATTATGAACCATCAGATGTGATCCTCTTTCGTCCTCCGACTTTGAACCACTGGCACGTCCTTTCTCCTTGGCCCAGTTCATGACCAGCTGTTGTTGATCTTTCCGGACTTAAGCTGGTGACAATGGATTGAGTAGAAACTTTCGATCGCCTTTCTTGAACCTGTAGCTGTTGTGACTTCCATCATGAATGACCTCTCGATCATATTGCCATAGACGAGCCAATAGGAGATGGGCAGGCTGCATTGGAGCAACATCACACCAAATTTAATCTGCATAATCATCGATCTGAAAACAAACCTTGGCCTTCTTGTTGGCTTTGATGTTCCATAGTCGTTCAGCCAATGCAGAGTGTATGGTTGAGGATGTTTGATGGTGCTCGAACCCAACTTCTTGACTGCATCTAGACTAATCACATTGGTGCAGCTACCACCATAAATCACCACAAATAACACCTTCCTGTCGACCAGGCAACGAGAATGGACAAGATTATCCCTGTGCTCCGGCTCTGTGTAAGCTTCAATGGATAAACCTCGGCGGTTCACTCCAAGAAGTTTACCTGCTGGAGGTTTCTCAACCTTTATGTGCTCATCCACATCTTCATCTTCAGAATGAGAATCAGAGCCAAATCCATTTCCTATGGGCTTCTCTTCATACTCCTCCTCAGAAAAGTACTCACCATGACCTCGGCCAAAGCACTTGAAGTATTGGATGTTTCCAGTTGAGCCTTAATTCTTGGCTTGAATGACTGGCGCTATGTTCCTGGTAGCTGGCTTGTCACCTTCTTGCTTAGGATGATTAATGTTAGCCTCAGGAATGTTTTCTGGAACAGATTTGGGTGAAGGTGGGTACCTTCTTCCCGAGGTCACCTTCAGCTGCCTCTCTACCTTCAGCCAAATGTACCGCTTCCTCCAACTCCACAAACTGACGAAGCTCTACTTCATTCTTGATTTCTCGGTTAAGCCCATGCAAAAAGTGAGCAATCATGGCTTCCTTGTCTAATCTCACATCTTCTCTCATCATGAGTAGTTCCAGCTCCTTGAAGTACTCATCAACAGAGCGCGCTCCTTGCCGAATTCTCTGCAAGGCATCATGGAGATCTCTCTGATAGATAGGAGGAACAAACCGATCACGCATCAAGCCTCGTATTTTTGCCCTAGTAGAAACTTCAGGCGGCAGATTCCTTATTCATCGTTGTTGAATCTTTTCCCACCAAATTGCTGCATAATCTGTAAACTCATAGGTGGCTACAACAACTTTCTGATGCTCCGGGTAAGGATTGCACTGGGAAAACATAACCATCTTCCTCTCCCAGTCAAGGTAAGCAGATGCACTAATAATGCCTTGAAACGATGGGATTGAGAGTTTAATCCCTCGAATTAGTTCAACGCCGTAACCCCCTACTTTCGGTGGTCTTCCTCCATATTCATTATAATCATTCTCATACTCATTAAATGGAGGTCTGTACTACGAGATTACCTGACGACGTTGCTTCGGGTATTGGCGCCTCTACATCTGCCGATCTAGGGTATCAGGAAAAGTCTGGTACACTCGACTGCTTGGGGACCCTCTTGGTTCGTGACTCCAGTATGAGCTGCGACATCTGATGGGTTTTCTGGTGGAGTAGATTACCCATTGGTTGCGTTCCCAACCTGGTGATTAGGGTATCTAGTCGCCGATTCGTCTCAACTAGCTGACCTTTGGTAGTGTCCTGCTGGGCCTGAAGCAAAGCTCCCATCTGCGCCATCTGCGCGGCAAGCAGCTTCATGGCTTCTACAAGATCCTGACTCTTCTCTCCCATGACTTGTTCTTCGATTGGGATTTCTTCTTCAGATAGCGATTCTTCCTCTTCTAATGCAAATGCACCGAACCAAATAATGATTTTCCTAATACATATAACATAATAATATAAAATTTAAATAAGATGCAATTAAGACAATGGATATAAAATCAACATATACATAGAACCAAAGGACCCCAACATCGCTGCATTTCCAATGGCGTAAAAATCATGCTCCCAAGTATGGATCTCATGTACAGTAGAGTCAACATTAAGGTCATCATCAGCCAACACATGGACAATGCTTCCGTAGGCTTGTGCTTGGTCAATAATGCTACTCTTCTCGTAATTTTCTTTGAGTATTTTAACTGGTGGCTTTGTTAGCAATGGTGATAGCTTTATGGCTTGTATTTTGTATGGAAGATTTAGAATAAGAAAACTTGAAAAGAGTATATAACACACAATGAAAGATGATGATCTCGGAGAACCCATTTCTTAAATCCTCTTTCGTTTCCCAAATCAAAAGAGATTGAAAGGTCTTTGAGGAAATATATGGGTACGTGATTAATTGTATCTTTCGGTGAATGGTATGGGAGATGCGAATCAATTATAATCAAGGTATTTGTATCTTTCGCTTAATTGTTATTGTAGCTACCAGGTTGGTATTGCTTCTCATAGTTAGCTTGATTATGATCAATTTGTTAACATGAGTATAAGATGCAAACTATATGTAATGAAAATATATGAAAATATTTGCCCTGTAGAGAACTATAAAATTAATTACTGAGCATGAATTGGTACTTTGTTAAACTTGATATGCAATAATGAGCTTCAAACCATACACGTGCAACCATATTAAACAAACACAAGAACATTCTCACCATATTAAAAAACTAAATATGATGGTCATGTGATCAAAGTTTGAATAGTTTCTATTTATAGTAGTTACATATTGGCCAATTTATAAAGCAAAATTGTCAAAACAGAAAATGCAGGAATAACCTTTGTTTTTGTTCCTCAACTGTGTTGGCTATTCTTTGGCGCTAGTATTTGATTTTATGCTTTTTTTAAACATACAATTTCAAATAGGTAGACACAATTAATGCTAGTGAGTATTTATTTTTTTGGCTTGGAGATAGTTTCGTCCGGGGGAGCGGTGCGGTTAACATGACTACCCTCATATGGGGTCTGATTTTTGACACCCCATTTAGATGCCATCCATTTTTATTAGTGTGAAATGAATGGTTAGGATTAAACATCTACTTATTGAGAAGTTTTCATGTAATTATTGTTCTATAACCTACATTGAAAAAGAAAGAAATCGGGTATCGAGGGAAAAATGGTTCCCAAGGTCAATTCAAAATTAATTACCCGTCACCCTTTTATCTCTCCTTCTCGTCTCCTCCTCTCTCCCTTTCAATAACATGTCAACGAAAACCCTCCCCCGCCGTAACCCCTACCCGCGATGGAATTATCACCCTTCCGACCTCCGTTACGATCCCTCAACGACCATCGGCAGTGGATCCCATTGGTCGGCCATCCTACGATTTCACGCAACAGTCTATGTTTTTCGATCGTCGACGCGAAGGGATCGACGAAGAAGACAACGAACCTCCTCACCTTCCGTGAGAAGAAAATGACCCTCCTACCCTTTTGCATTGGCCCTCCTCCCCTTTCCGGCGAAGACGACGAAAAAGAATTTGAGGTAGCCCCCCCCATTATCTCTCTCTCCCAAACTCATATCTCGATTTTTCGTGTGGTATTAGTACTAGTGCAATGGTCTTTTCATCACCCAGATCTGTGTTTTTGTGTTTCAAGATCTGTATGTTTTTATGTGGTATCATTACCTGTGCACTGGTATGTCTATCACTATAGTGGTATAAATTGTTGATTCTGGTACTGAAGTTTATCACTCAAGTGATAGTTGATTCTTGGATAATGTAGTGTTATTTCTACGACTGCAGTCTATCACTACATTGATAGTTAATCATGTGAATGTTCTTGTATTTCTACCATTAGGGCGGTATTTTGTGTACCACTATAAATGTACTAATGAGATATATCACGACAGTGATAGTTGTCTTGCTTATTGATCTCATATTTCTATCATTGAATTGATAGTTCTGATTATTGTGTTTACCAATGGCAGCAAGAATGGAAAAGACGAAGAGACCGTATCATGTGGTTCCAACAGGGAAGAGGCTTGCAAGCTATGTTTCTAGCAAGGTAGAAGTTGGGGTAGGTTAGACTCCTTTCTCAAGTAAGGTTACCATCAAGAAACGGTGTCGTGAGAGCCGGAATTAGGACAACAAGATAGGGGGAAGAGGAAACATACTGATGATGTTAGCGGCAAGAAGTGGATCCCCAACTCTATAATTCAAATTCCGAAGAGTGGAGTTTCAGAGGAGAAATGCTATACTTGATTTTCCATTGTTTAGGATTCTCAGAAACAATTTCTTAGAGACTTCATGTTTATTTGTAACATTGGTTGGATATTTTATTGTTGTTGGCATTTCCCTTTTTTGATAACACATTCTAATCCACGGTTAGTGATGATACTAATGAGAAGTTGCTTGGTTGTTTACGTATCAAATTGGTTGTAAATGTATCAATTCAGTGGTACATTTATCAGTTCAGTGGTACATGTATTAGTGCAATGGTATGTGTATAAGTTCACTGGTATATATATTAGTTCACTGATACATGTACCATTTCAATGGTACCACTCCAAAGTATATCTAAACACTACAATGAAAACATTTAGGATGATTTTCAATTATGCTAATGGTACAAGTACAATAGATCTAACACTGCAAGTGGGTGGTCACATTTTGGTGTGGAAAGTATAACTTTAATAATTGCACTGATACTTGTATCAGGCCAGTGGTACATGTACCACTTCAGTGATACATGTATAAGTACAATTGTATATGTTCCACAACAGTGGTAGATGTTCACGGCCGTGACGCCGTCTGCCAAACGCTGTAGGGATGCACTTTACAACTTGGAGTGGTAAAAAATGAGTCGCCGCTGCCCTTCATGTTCTTCGTTTCCGACGGGTACTCCCTTGGCGGCCAACAGTCCATCCGGAAATCGGGAGGAGAGTCGAATCCCGTCTTCACCTCCCCATCATTCGATGCCACCACAGGAGCCGCCGTTCTTGGCATGCCCAGAATCGCCACGCGTAATATCGGATCCGACTTCCCTCCCTACGTGGCCTTCGCTGGCTCGATTTCCGGCGATATTCCTTGCGTATCGTCCTCCTCCGACGAGAAACCCACTAAGCGGGGCGGAGGTGATCCCACCGCGATAGTGCCTGATGGTTCTGGCAGCCATCGAGTTATGCAGAGGAGAGGGTTGGGTTTCTATTTTTTTTTTAAGGAAAGAAGGGGAATATGGGAGCCCAATTGGATTTCCCCATCCAACGTGATTTACTCCTTCCCCATAAAGCGTAATTAATATGGGAACTTGCCCAATTTTCAAAATTCTGGAAAAAACAAAAAACACTTTCATTAATACTTACCTTAAAATTCGGAATGAAATGGACGACTGATGGCTGGGGTGTCAAAAAGCAGACCCCTTTAAGGGTTAGCATAGTATCTCATCCCTTTGGTCAGGATGCTAGTATCATGTAGTATGCATCTAAATGAAACTAGCATTGGTGAATGACATAAACTGAATGTTTCCCTCTTTGATCTCTAAGCCAAGGACATCAAGTCATCTCATCTATCCTTTGTCCGAGTCGCCCCTACTCCAAACATTGTGGCCATAAGAAATCACATTCTTGAATCTCTCACAAAATTATATGAGCCATTCGCGAAGCTTAAGTGAGAAATATTCGACAATGCTTTTTGGACATTTTAATTATACCACAAAAGAATGAATAAATGAATTTTTTTCAATCACTCTCTTGTACTCCTGTAAATATGCCAACAAAAAAAGCACATTGTTGAACATCTCACAAATTGATATGAGGCATCCGCGAAGTATAAGTGAGAAATATTCAAACAATGCCTCCCAAATTTTTTGTTGTTGAGAATGGTGAATTTATTAGAGAAAAACTGAAAATCACAAAAAACAAAGGCTAGCACAAGGTGTGCGCCTAAAAAGAAAGAAGCAGAATAACAGACAAAAAGAGTACAAGAACAGAGAGCAGCAAAGGATCAAGGAAGAAAAGGTGGAAACAACACCGATTGAAGGGGCTGAGCAAACCAAGAAGCTCATGCCCCCACAACATCTGAACAAGCAAAAAAGAAGTAGGTTGTATCTCAATGTTCAGAACCAATCAAGATACAACCACCTGCTGCGGATTGAAAACCATACTAACCCGAGTATGAGAGCATCAAATAGCACCAGCTGTGGTTCTGGAAATCCGATCATGCAACCATCTAGAACTTTGATCTTTGTCGGTTCTATTATGTGCAACAATCCATTCGACAACAACTTTGAAGATTTTCCTGGCGATTATGCTGTACGGAAGGTAAGTGTAATTGAAGATCCGTTGGTTTCTCTCTAGCGCATGAAGGACACAATAATTGAACCACCCATCAATGTGATCAAGACTGGTATGTGACCAATTCGAAATGACAAAAGTGATCTCTCCTTGGGGTTGAACGACCTGAATGCATCTTTGCTGAATGAACCTCCATATATTTTTGACTAAATTGTAAGTTTGGTCACTTGAATTACTAGTAAAGTTCACGTTAGCCACTAGAATTACTTTATTTCATCTGTAGTCACTTAAATTAGTTCAACAGTTTAAGTTTGGTCACTCTCCGTTAGTCTCCGTTAACTTTGGCTGATGTGGCAGTCAACTTTGATAGTTGACCGTTAACTAAATGACGTGGCAATTAAAAAAATAAAAAATAATCTTTTAAAAATTCCACCTCATTATCACAAAAAAATTAAAAAATTATAATCGCAATAAAAATGCAAAATTGAAAAAGCAAAATCCATTCCCCCGACTGGCTCAAAAGCCTCGCCACCGTCGGGACGCTACCGAGGTTGGTGATAATCCATATGACGGATGGCAGTCCGTCGGCGGAGATCCAGAGAAAGCAACCCATGAATCGGTAGCAACACCTAGTGATGAGATTGAGCGGAATCAAGGAGATATGTTTTAGCAGTCATCTTCAACCGTTGTCAGCTTCTCCTCCCTCGGATCCACCCTCAGTCGTCGCCTCCTCTCTGCCTCCACCGCAAAATCGCACTCCTCTGCCGCCACCGACATGCAATTGTTGTTCAGAATCTACGACGACGATGATTTCGATTTTGTCTCTGACGGCAGCGACAGGTAGCTCGGGGTTAGCCCTCTTTGAAATCCTCTCTTCTTCCATCTCCGCCTTCTGATCGCCGCGATCCCCAATCTTTTTTGAATAGGGGTTTTGTCCTTGCGGGATGACGACGGAGATCGGCGTAGCTTCGGTGACGGGGAGAAACCTACCGATCCCGTCGAGCAAATCCGAGTACAGTTTCAGCAACTCCACCACTTCGCTGCGGAGGTCATCTTCCCCGATCGCCTTTCTGTTGTACGAATCGAAGAGCTTGAGCACCATTTTCTGCAACCTTCGGTTTCCCATCCCAATCCGGTTGATAAAATTGACAGCCGCCTTGCATCCTTCTTCCCTTTCGTCTTCAATCGGAGAGTCATAAACCAGCCGGTAAAACTTATGAATCAAGTCGCTTTGCCCTTCCAGAATCTCCTCCACTATCATCGTCGTTTTCGTCATTGACTCCAGCTGGCCACCGCTACACCGCATTTATGAACCGGACGTACTTCTCGTAGGGAACCCGACGCTTGATTTCTGAGATAAGATTTGTGGGTTCTGTTGCTGTTTATCTACAATTAATAAAGCTTTCATTTTTATCTTCTTTTGCCAATACCCTCTGTTATATTTCCTGACTCTATTCTCTCTGTTGTTCCTTCTGCAGGCATTCTGGCAATACTCCAGCTGATCGAATGCATCCGGCAGCACGTGGACCAATCCTGTCGCGAGAATTACCATGCCGACGAACAACAAAGGTGGACATTTGAAAATAATAATTTTTTATTTTTATTAATTTTTTAATTGACACGTCACATACTTAACTGTCAACTATGAAAGTTGATTGCCAAATAAGCTAAAGTTAATGGAGACTAACGGCAGTGACCAAAGTTGGGCTGTTAACCTAATTTAAGTGACTATGAATGGAATAAATTAATTTGAGTGGCAAACGTGAAATTTACTAGTAATTCAAGTGTCCAAACTTGCAATTTACCCATATATTTTTGGCATAGTCGCAGTCCACTAGAATGTGATCTGCAGTCTCCTCCTTTTGATGGCATAGCGCACACCATTTGGCAAGTTCCCAGCCTTTCTTCTTCAGCAGGTCTTGAGTTGGTATTCTTCTGTGAAAGAGAGTCCATAGGAAGAAGCAGATCTTTGTTGGTACTATACTTTTCCAAATTGATGCAGCTGGAAACTCAGAGACCCTTGGAAAAGAGTCGTCGACAAGGCACCTGTACATAGCAGATACAGAGAAAGAGGACTCCGGATTTGGAGTCCAAATCGGTCTGCAAGGACTAGCATAAGAATCGTGAAAATTTAAGGACTCAAGCAGGGTAAACAAATCCTCCCTTTCCCTTGCATCCCCTCTGCGAAGATTAATGTTTAAATTTACGTTCCAAGGAGAGGTCTCAACTGAATGAGTGTAGATGTCCGAGATATGCGCCTCAGGGAGAGAAGCAGCAGCAACGACACTAGGGAAAGCTTCAGCCAAAACAATACCTGGAATCCAGCAGTCATACCAGAATGAAACATAGGCGTCGCTGCCAGGATCAATATGAACATAATTCCAGAAAGACTTATAGTCCTTGGATATGTTAGCCCAAGGAGAACTGCAGAAGCCCCTTCTGATTGCACAAGTTTGCCAATTAGTGTGAGGGTGTTTATATTTGCAGTCAATTAGCGATTTCCACCAGCTGTCTATCTGAGTAGCGTATCTCCATAACCATTTTGACATTAGTGCCCTGTTAAAGATTCCCAAGTCGAACAGACCAAGCCCACCTTTAGTTTTTGATGCCTTGCATATTTCCCACCTCGCTAGTGGCATTTTGCGGAAGTCTCCATAGCCGCTCCACAAGAAATTTCTCATGATCCTTTCCATAGTACATGTGACATAATTGCGCGCCTTAAACAGAGTGAAGTAGTGGACCGGAAGGCCAGACAGAACAACCTTGTTCAGAATAAGCCTAGCCCCTGAAGATAGATATCGAGCTTTCCATCCATCGAGCTTCTTCTTGTACTTATCGATCATTGGGCTCCAAAATGCGGCAGAGTTGGTATTTCCCCCGAGCGGGTATCCAAGATAAAGGGGTGGATCTCTAGACCACTTGCACCCGAAAATAGCCGCATAGTAACTAGGTTCATGGACGTCTCCAATAGTGTACATAACAGATTTGTCGAGATTGATCTTGAGAACAGTG